TTAAAATTTTAAATATAATATATAGATAAAAAAATACTGCGTATAAAATTGTACAAAATTTTATTATGCTAATGCGAGCTAAAAAAAATTACTGTGAATAAATCACATATTTAGAAATATAATCCGATAAAAAATCTCGACCTTGATCAAAATGTCTCTAAACCTCGTTTTGCTGTGTACTGACCCATTTGTTGTACTGTTTAATATTTTACTTTAACAAGATATCTCATTTTGAAAGTAATAAAAAATTGTCGATCTTTTGAAAAGGATAAGTCAAGTCCCTTTTATTAAAGTTCAAGTGGCGATGATTATCAGTTATAATGTGCTTTAATTATATATATTTAACTTACATATATTTAATTATAATATTCTTAGTTAATTATAAATTAATTAATAGTATCAGAAGCTAAATCCATCTCAAAATGTTAGACATCTAACAATAACATAACTTTTTAGTATAATACTCAATAGAAGGAAATGATATAGATAAGACCAATTTACTAATTATTACAAGGAGTTGTAGCTAGACGAAGATTAAAGTTTATATGCTTTATAATGGCTGAAGCTAAAAATAATATAACTGTAACTATATCATGAGTGAAGTCTAACTGTAAATATTAATCTATAAAATTAATAAAATCTAGTTATATAAACTATTCAACTTATTATTTTTCATTACCAGACCTTTCTTCTTGATAAAACATCCACTCTACAGCTTGATAAATATTATCAGCTACATATTTTGCTGGATTTAATAGATGATTGTCTCCTTGAAATACACCAGTTCTTACTAGAATTGAGGTCCAACCATATCCATTAGCACCTGCTATATCTATTTTTTGAACAAAAAAATGTTAGTAATAATAATTAAAATTAATAAATAAAACAAATAAAATTGTATAGCACAAGTTAAAAAAAATAAGTTTATAATTAATAAGTAGATATTGATAAATGTTTTCTAAGAAAATAAAATACTATAAAGTATTAGCAGATAATAACTTGATTAAAATTCCAGTAAAGATTACAAAATAGTTATAGTCTAATTTCATTAATACATATTTTCTTGAAAAATGTCATCTACCTATTATTTCTTAAAACATTGCCAATATCTTTTAAATTATAAAATCCATACCTGAGGCGGGATTATCTCCAACAGCTACATATATATATAGATAGATAAAAATATTTTTAGTGTTCTTATGCCCAAAACTCTAACCCAAATCTATACTGCTCTTCAAAAAGCCTACCATAAATATTTCTATTAGGTAAGTTTTGTCCACTAATTTCAAATGCATAATCTTCCAACAGTTTATGTGCATATTTATAAGTTACCGTTTCAGGTTTCCCAAACAATGTGTACTTGAGTTGTAATCCTGTTTCTTTCTTTAAAATAAAGACTTTGTAAATTCAATTATGCTACACTCATAATAAGCACTAAAACAAATTATTGGTTTGGCAGATAATCGTGACTTTTAACCAATAAGAATATCAGTCTACTCAAATAAACCAATCAGACTACAAAGCCTATCACGTAATAGATTAGCGTTTTCTCCCAAACCAGAAATTTGCTGTTCCCAATATTTCCGAAATAATCGGTCAGGATCACTAATAAGTTTCTCAACAAACCTCATACAAATGTTCTAAACACAACCTAAAAGATCCTTGAGCCATTCTTGGGATAAGACATTCATTTGACCAAATCTACAAACAAATGAGTCCACATTTTAAACGTAAACTACATATTAAATTACAACATTTCCTAATAATAATACGACACTCGAAGACTTACAATATCAGGGTTAGAAAAATATAAAGGAAAGTTACGCGTCAAAAGTTCTTGGGGACTGGAAGAAGTTTCGAAATAACCATCTTTACTTTGTAGAACATCTAATATTATTTGTAAATCTCTACCCCCTATTTGTCAAACGAAACTTTAACACATATTAAACAAAACAACAATTTATAACATAAAGATGAAGTACCTACAGTCACGACTATCATGAAACATCATAATAGCTTCAATTTTGACATTGGAAAAATCCAATTTCTTTTAAAATCATTTCATTAGTATTTAATATAATTATTAAGAATAATGATTATTAAATAAAATACCTTTGTAAGTTTCAAATCATCTTCACTAAGCTTGGTAAATGGCCAAATACATGGTTTCCAGGCTAATACATCATTTGGAATTACAACTCGGTTAAAACCATAACTAATAGAAAAAAGAATATATTTATTATCTTCAAATATAAAATTATCATCATTATTATTATTAAAAATTCAAGAACCTTTCAGCAACAATTCTGCAATTATCACCCGCTCCACCAATTATCAATACCTCAGAGTCTTTAAACATAGGTACAAGTTGACGCATTGGGGAATGAGCTAGTGTTACTTGTGATGGTTTGATCTAAATAACAATTATGTTAAGAATTTATCTTAGGCTTGATAAAAATGCGATGAATTAAAAAGTTACATAACTGGAAAGTTTAATATTTCACTCAATTCCTCGGCTTTTTTTATTTCTGTCACACCACCGCCGTTAGTTAATAAGATGAAAGGAATCTTTCTTTGAATAAAAACGGTAAAAAAAAAAATAATAATCAAAAAGTAAAAAATATATCAATTTCAATTAAGAAAGCTTAATTAATGCAAGTACAAATTCACTTTTTTAATTTATTTTCGCCGTCCAAAAATCGAAGTGCACTTTTGGCTTCAGGTACAGCCTTTGTTCCCTTTTCCACATAA